AACGCTTCTCGAGGTAATTTCCCTTCTTGCATTGTAGAAACGGCAGAAGCCCAAAACTCACTAGTTTCCGTACTTCCACCAATTTCATCATCTACTCTAGCACCATAACTTGCACTTTCTCGTGCTGCTGTTTCATGCTCTTTTAAGTAATCTTGAACTAATGCTTTCATTCCTCCCTTGCCAAAATTGGTTTGAAGAAGATCCTCCCTATCTTTCAATGCTATCTTTCCATCTTTGCAGCAAATAATTCCCTGCCGTATCATATTATTAAATTCATTGCAATCTTTTCTAGTGTGTGAAGGATCATCACACCAAATGCATCGTTGTACATATCCTTGTTTTGAAACATTCTTCGAATTGTTTGTAAAAGTATTCTCTTTAAGTCTTGCTAATTTGATTTGAAGATCTCCCATTCTTTGTATAATTTCTTCCATCCCCATATATGCTTTCTTCGATAAGGATGTCAAAGGTTGAACCGTAGGCATTGTTAGTGGTATTGTACGTACTGGAGCTTTGGGTGCTTGTACTGTTTTCTGAATATTGCTCCTATCCTTCCTCCTTTTTCTTTTTGTAAGCAACCCCACTGCATCTTCAACGTTCTTCCACTTTCTTGTCAATCCTTCATCTTCTTCTTTGTCTTCAAGAAGGAGTTCTAATTTCCCTTACAATTCTCCATCAGCAGCTTGAAGAAATAGATCAACTTTGTTCGGCTCCAATGTCAATTTTTCTACCTTCGACAATTGAGAGTACTGCCTCTCAAATTCCCTTAGTAGCTCTGTTGCTTGCAAATTCTTATTGGGCCGTTCAATCCATTCCAGAAACAGCTTCTTAGTAACGCGATCAGCATCTTCCAAGAAATATTCGTCTTTCAATGCGTGTAAAAAAACCTCCTATGAATTCCCATAACGATCCGTAATCGATGTAATATGGTCTCTTATCTCCAATATCGTGGCAAGTCCAAATACTTCAACCATTTTCTTCTCAGAAACCCGATTTAATTCCATTTCACGAACATAACATCTTAAATACCTTGAAATATTCCTCCCATCAAATTGATCAATTTTATTGACGATTGCTTGCAATGCTTTGGTTGCCAAAGCTTCCTTTCGATCATTGCTTTGCTGTTGCTGCATTGATAATGAGAAGGCTTGAAACATACTAGCAATAGATGGATCCATATGCATACCTTATCCTTTAGAAGAATCCCCACCAGAAACTCCTCCCAAAAATCCTTCAAAATTTTTATTTTCGTTTTCCATAAAATAAAGATAAAATCAAACGAAATCCAATACCTTCCACCTCAAGCTTTCACGTCGGATTCACCACTTATGTCGTATTACGTGCTTTCCTGCTCGAGAATGCGCCGGACGTCTGACTGTAAAAGGTAGTATGGAGATTCGCCAATAGTCAAGCAGTCTATCAGTTTTTGACTGTTGGAATATAAACGACTGCAAGAATACACCATAAATCTATACGGTTGCCCTTCGACTACTCGTCGAAGTCTTTTTTGTCCCAGCCGGTAGGTCTCTAAACGTTACAGAGAACCCTGAACAACTCAATCTGCTAATCTCCGATACCGCTTTATACTCACAATCTTGTATCCACTAACTGTCTTGTTAGATTAACCCTATAAATTTCATTCACTTCGCATACTCAATCCTATAGACACCCTTTTAATTCTTCATCACAGACATAACTCGATTTCACAAAATAGTCAAGAGTAATCAAACCCACTTCATTAAAAATCCCGATCCACCATTACAACATTGACTTCAGCAACGATTGCCTCAGTCTTCCCAAAACCCTATGATGAAAAAAAAACCCAATTCTCTCTCTTTTTTCTCCGCCCGAAGCATGAAGCTAGCTCTCCGATCCCTCAAAAACGCCCCCCCCAAAAAAAAAACTTATTCTCTCCCCTAACCTTATCCTCTGAATTTCTTCAATCTTCCGTCTTGGATCCAGAATTGGCTCCCACCGTCAGAGCTTTCTCCCCCGTTTTTACCTTTAAGAGATCCTTTTACCGAAAACAACGTTCCTTGAAACGGCACAGAGAACAGGACAGCTTGAAACAGAATCGAAACCTCGTAATCGGGACCACATTGAGTCATCCGACCAATTCAGGTCTCATATTGGCTAAGAGTCCAGTAGTAAGACCCGGATTTTCCCGTAATTGGACTACATTGGGTTGCCCGGCCAATTCAGGTCTCATATTGGATAAGAGGACCCGGATTGGATTCTTGAAATTGGATCCAATTGGCTCTTCGAACGAGGCTCACACGTCGTGTGAATTAGTCCTTTCTCTTCCTGCTGACTCCCGTTATTAGAATCGAATGGAGCATTTCAGTATGCTGCGGCTGACTGTAACGGGGTGACTGAACCTGGCCACTCAGTATTTGCACTGGAGTTGGTCGTTGCTCCCAATATTCGAGGTAACTGAACATTAATAAAAGTCCCCTTTCTTTATATTTTCACGGTATACTCGTGTTACAACACGACAACGTATTAGCAGCTTATAATACAAGCTAATTATGTGGCTCATATATAAGAAACTTGTCTTGCAAGTAAAAACATGTGTCTTACAAATCACTTTTATTTATAACATGAGCTTTTGTATATTTATAAGCATCATTGTTTTTACATGATTAATTTCTTATATCGATTTGATTTGCAATGTGTAGGTATTTTCAAAATTTATCCTTTAATATTTGAAAAACTTATTTTCATCCATTTCAAGCAGCACCAATAAAGATCTCAAACTAAAAACCATTGGAAGGAATATTACCAAAAACAACAAAAGTCTGTAAATAAAATGAACAGCAACAACAATTAGGAATTAGGAGCATTGCTAAGCTCTAACAGCATGTGTCCTCATCAAATCTAGACATCCATAGCAATTCTAGATTGATCAATGGATCGATGGATTGAAGCTTTCGTCGCAATCCGGGAATTGTTTCAGACACGCACACGCACACGCACACTCACACTCCGATCGTGGATCGTCACTTAACCACATCGACAAAACCAGTCGCGTGCACTGTTGCGCAGCGATGAGCTCAACGCCGAGGGGAGGTTCTTGCGATCGGGTCACACGCCAGCTCGACGAGCGGATTGATGTCCAGGAATCGCAGACTGCGGGACCAGGGATCCGCGGAGATTGTGAGTCGGCTCATCGTCGCTCCCTCACGCCCCACATCGTGAAACTTCGCGAGCGGTTGACCTCGATGTCGATTGTCCAGGATGTTTTGCTGCCGTGCCGCATGGTTTGCAGACCATCCCGGATTGAGCGCGTTAGCGACCAGCAAAACTAGCCGTTCTTCAGGATCATGCGCGGTGAGGAGTCCGAATAACTAAGATAAGAGGGTAACATGACCGAAAGTGTCACAACCATAGAAAGGCACATATTCTGGCGACCAGGTGAATCAAATTGGGGATCGTCTCGACCTCGGGAGTGGACATGCCCCAGGACTTTGTATTATTTGGTGATATATAAACATCGCACAAGGGAGGCGAGTTCCGTATGGGCCTTGAACATGTTGAAGCAGGAAGCCACGACCACGGGAAGGTGCGTTTTTATATGTGAAGGTGTGACGAAACACAGACACGGAATCGCTCGCGGCATCGCGAGCGCTTAGCTCCACTTGTCGCTCTATATTTGCCGATTAAATAATAGCTGCTTATTGGCCCACTCCTTCACGTGGAGTTCATTCATCCCATGCCGATCCTAACGGACAGCATCTTGCGATGCAGAATGTCCTGTTCTTCTAAATCTGACACCAGTCACTCACGACTCTCGCTGGCTGGCACTCCGTTGTTTTTTCTCTTGCCTTAGCCTCGTTTGGTTTTGGAAGTAACCAAGAAGCAAAAGGTTTTTTTTTTGTTGTTTTTGTTTTTTGAACACTGTGAAGGTGGAATCTCTGATCTAGGGAAAGCGTGTGATCGTAGGTTACTGCCTAGCTCACTCAATTAGCTAGATCGTTGCATGTCAGAGCGACATCGTTTCCCCTCATCCCAACTCTGGTTTCCACAGATTATTCTTCCTCACATCATGTGGAGGAGTGCTTAAATTTTCGACTATTAATTAGCAGGGCAGAGACAAAACCTTACTCAGCAGAGGGTCTATGAGGCAGCATTATGATGTACTGTGATTGAGGATTATATTATTGGAAAGAGGATCTGAAATGGCTCGAAGAAGGCTGACAAACAGCAACCGTATTCTTGAGTTCTCTACTAATTGTTCTGGACTTTTCAGATTGACTCAGAAATTACAGGAAGTGGCAGACAAGAATCCCTTCGATACTGCACGAGTATAGAGCCAACTGGAACCCTGGCTTCAGAGCAGTGGCACCCTGGCTAGAAATGGCAGTGCTCGAACAATTCGCAGTCTGTAGCAACTCAGTTTCTCTCAGCCACGATTTGAATTTTAATAATTCTAATTCTACGGCTCACAGACTCTGGCCGGAGAGTTAGTGTGTTGTAGGCAAGCCGTGGTAGAATTTTACAGTACTTATTCGTCATGTGGACAGTGTGGTTTCGGCGCCCCCATTCATTCTCTCAGAGTACTTATGAAGAAATTGCGTTAACTGTGTGTTCATTTTGGGACTCCATCGCTTAAAGGGGAAAAAATGAATTATCAAATAATTAAATAAATTTCAACATGCAATGGCATTACTTACCCCTCTGTTGGTCAATCGTGCTCACCAGCTCCTCCTCTCTGGACAGAGGTGGAGGAAATAGAGTTGACCTGTATAGTCGGAATGGAGGATGAAGGAGGTTATTTACAGCTTACTACCGACATTCTAATGGAACATTGAAGCTGTTGGATGTAACAATCGGCATAATATTTTCTACTGCATTCAAATATCAGCTTATGATAGTGAGCTCTTCATGAGCATTAAACTGCCGACGTCCCAACAATATTGTGTTTGGTTGCACTGTATCGTAGATGGTAATTAAGAAAACCTTTCAACACAGAGATGGAAGAGGAAATGAATCCGTTTTCATGCTTGTGTCGAGGTAGACCATAAGAGTGAGAGTTAGTCTATTTATTCAAGCGCTGAACTGTGGAAGTATTGGAGGTCGTTTTCGAGGCTAATCATCACAATGCAATATAGGGTCAATGGTGATAACAACTACAGGTGAAAAGTGCTTTGCCCAGGCTTGGGCTATCACTGTGAACACGTCCAGAACTTCCTCATGTGGTAACCTGACTAAAAATACTTACATCTATGTATTCACATATTTTGAACGCTGAATCAGCTGCAAGACTATAGACAATACAACACACGAATGCCGAAATCACGTGCTAGCACACGGCCAACCTGCACCAACTCAAGAGATGGCTGTGGAATTGGTTCTAGTAAGACGATTGTGCTGGCATGGGGCTGGTTGGATGGCCCTCGGTGCTCATGTCTTCGTTGTTGCATGCGAATTCTTCCCACTCAGACCTGGGAACCAGAGAGATGGGTGAAGATTGTCAATATTCATCGGTAAAGAACCCATCAAACCCATGCAATTGGCTTGCTCGCGCAAAATCGTTCCATTCCGGTGCCCACGGTGCAGTGGAATGAGATTTCACGTCAGTGAGCTCTGGGAATGTTAAGCAGGAAAAGTCCCAAGAAGCTGGCAGCTCACACAAGTTGCTCCAAGTCTGAGATAGGTCTGGCTCCATGGTTTGAGGGTAAAAGCTGGAGGAACTGATGAGCCCAGTCGTGGTTGTTTGAGGCTGCACAGACCAGCCCAAGGGTAGGTCTCCGTACAGGTCCTGCGAATCCAGCGACAGTGATGTCCTCAAGCTCAAGGGAAGCATGCACTGAATATTGTCAGGATTCTGAGTTGGGTCAACCGGTCCCTGGTTTGAGCGGCAACAAACCTCGGAAACGGGTACGTCTCGAGGCAAACCCACCACTGAAGAGTGAGAGACGACCCCTGAGTTCGGGTAAGAAGCTGTATCGGCAGGAGGAGAGGCCATTGACAACGAAGAGTCGTCGGAGTAGGGAACTTGCGTTGAAAACAAACAGGGGTTGGAATTGATACCAAGTGCATTCCTTGTGCCTGTCCTCATACTGCGTGGACTTGAGTCCACATACCGGGAGACTACTTGTGCTATGGATCCTGCTACAACTTCGAAGCTGGTCTCTCGACAGTTCTGAGTCAACGCCTGGGTGATCTCAGCACAAGTAGTCATTGAGTCATCGATGTTGTCCGTCAAAGTGGACTCAGCCGAATGAGAAACTTTGCCCTGTCGAGTGACTACAGCGGTCCCTTTCAAAGCCACCTGCAACAAACACAGAAGAAGCAAGTTAGTGCAACTCGCCAGCAATAATGAAATGGTATCCTGCTGCCACTCAAGTAGGACGAAAGAAAACCTGCGAACGGCGACTTCGGCATGATAAAAATTTCCGCATCCAGGCTGGGATTCTTAGGACACTAAGTAGGTCTAAACAACCTCGTACCCTCTTGTAAAAGATATCCCGAGAACTAGGTGATAATCTGACTCGGACATGTACCTCACAAGAATGTCGAGGAACTGTGCCAGAATCCAGCAAATTAGACTTCGTCGTCGTCGAATTTGCGATCTCATCATTGTCATCATCTTTGAGGACGAGACCTGAGCACTGAGAGGCACTATCACCGCGAAACCAGTGGCTTCCGTTGGTGCACAAGTCTCTTGTACCAGTACCCTCGACGTGGTTCCTGCTAGGGGGGATGAGCTGGGGAAGTTCACATACACGCTGCGATCTTGGCGGATCACTGATAGCGCTTGCCAACCTCTCCACATTTTCCAGCACGTCGGTGTAGTCATGACATGACTCCACCGACGACTGATGAGCTGCGCCAATATCATGGTAGTTGACCAAAACCCGTTGGAGTTCACCGCGCGAAAGGGCACTGAACCAGTCGAATTTGCGCTGTTTCTGGGCTGGCTGGGCCAGATTCTCCTTGGAAGCTCTCGAAGCAGTCAGCGCTGCGGAGAGAATGCATGTTTGGTGAGCGGGATAGACGAAATTGGTCCGGGCTTTCAGTCCTCGCATCGACCTTGCCGCTGCAATGGAGGTCAAAATCATTAAGAACAGGCAAACTTCAACTCTTTCTCACAGCATGCGGGCTACGGCAAACATGAAAACTTGCAAACAACGGCTGCTGAAGATGAGGAGATCAGACCAAGACTATACCAGTATCGTACGCTAACGCAGCCTGCTCTGCAGTGTCGAAAGTTCCTAGCCATCGTCTCTCTCTCGTATTCGGATCTCTGATTTCGGCGGCATAGCGCCCCCAGGGCCTCTTCCGGACCCCCCTGAAACGTCCCTCCTGAGGCTTCTTCACCCTGTTTACTCCTACCTTCTCAACCTTATGAACTTTCTCTACTTCTCGTGAACACATCTCCGCCACTATCCTCTCTCAATCTCGGGTGATTCCTTCAACAACCTTCGATCTCGAGAACGACCAGAGGATTGGTAGCATTTTTTCCAACGTTGAACTGGTACACACACCCAGGCAGCACCGCTTGCAAACCAGCAGTGTGAAGCTCTTCCAGGCTGGCGGAATCCTTGTCCAGCAACCTCCAGATCTCGACGAGCACTGCAATGCACACAGACTGGTTCGCCCAAGCGCTACTTGTCAGTGGGGAAGTCAAGGGACGATATCGACGATGTTGACGCGGTTCGAAGCCGTTTTTTCGTGAAGTTGAAACGCACATACACAATCTCTTCCACAAAAACACACACACCCACGCAAACACACACTGGCAGACGCTCACAGACCTACCTCCCTCCCGAAAAGAGTTGGGTAATAGTCCAGCCGATAAATCCAATACCGTTAATGCCGATGACTCCGCCGGCGGTGTACAAGAATCCGGTCGGATGTCAGAAATAAAGGTATTTCCCTTGCTGTGCGAAATTTGCAACTCTAGGCTGGCCTACTCTCCTGCGTAGGCAGATTCTTGAGCTAAAAGAAAAACAATTCTTACCACATCTTTGTGACCTAACATATTCGACATCCTTTCTTGACCACAGCTGCGCTGTCACCGCAAACTGATTTCCTCTGGGGGATGATTCTCTTCGTAATTAAGTTCGCCAACTTCGATGAGGACTGTAGCCGTAGCAGCTTGCCAAAAAGTTGATCCCTTCCCTATGCCCGTAGGAACTCGTCTACTGTAGTGATGACGACGTCGACGACGATGAGAGGCTTTTGTGCATGCCCTTGCCAGTGTGTGTGGCCATCTGTATCCAACCATTGGTTGCCAAAAGAGACGTCCACCATCCCTTTCGATCCTTCCTTTTCTTTGACTTCTGTGCCTGTTGCTGTTGCTGGTGTGAGCTTTGCTTTGCAGCCTCATGTGTAGATCTGGAAATTTTCACCATGGCCATCTGAATCTCCTGAATGCTGCAGGAAAACCTTGTTGAACTTTCCATTTGTTCCTTCAGTATTGAATTCTGTAGCTTTAGAATTTACCCACAGTTTGATTTAGTTGCTCATGTGATATAATTTGAGTCTTAGTTTGTCTTCTTTGTGAGAGTTTTGTTTGAGTAAGTAGATTTTACATCATTTTGTATGAGGATGATCAGATGTTAAAGGGAGTCTAGGACATGGTGATGATGATGTGTCACAGAATGCAACACAGTCAACTGCAGAGTTCATGTGTTTTACAAAACTCTAGTCAACTTTAGATTAAGTAAAAATAAAATGATCATTCTCATCCTTTTTTATGGTATTGTTAGACAGACTATGAAGGCCACCTCACATGGTGACTAGGCATTGCATTCTTGGTTCAAAGCATGCTTCTAACTACTTTTTCTATTCTTTCCTCTTGCTCCTCAAAATAATCAAAGCTCCAAATTTAGAAAAGTTATGCCAACAAGAGTAAAAACAACTGATCAATTGGTTACTTTATCTATGTTCGAGGTATGGTGTGATTGAGAAAATGATTTGAATGCAATCAAGTTATTTGGACCCATCTACTTGGCACTCAATAGGACAAATCCTTTTACACAAAATCATTAATATCAAAAGGAAAAAATGAAAAATGAAAACCAAAAGAACCTGAAAGTTGGGTTTTTTATCTCAACCCAATGAAGTGTGATCAAGACATCCTTGTTGTCTTTTAGTGTAGTAAAAATTAAGAATTTTTTAAATGAAGACAAAAAATAAATACATAAATTACCCTTTTAATTGATACACACCATCATCTACTTTGGTTTGATTTAGATACTTCAAAGTACAAACTAATCATACTTTTGAAAAGAAAAAGAATAAATTTTATTTAGAAGTCAATGTTCACTGTTAATAATCTAGAACATGGGTTTATGATATATTCCACAAATACTATTTACCATACCAATCTCCATATCCAGCACCCACACATAGCTCGTTTCCAAGCACCATTTGGTGTTCCATGACTTGTCCACCTTCATGGCCTTTCATGAATTGAAAAGGGGGTCCACTAGGGCTTTGCCAACTCTCAGCCTAGCCAATATTGACAAGAGTAGATATGGAGATATTATAACAGAATTTATGGAAATTTATGCTAAAAAACATGCCAGTCATTAATGGTAAAGATTAAAGCAGGAGACATAATGCTTCCTTTTTGATGCTGTGGGAAGCTTACTTAGTTCCTTTGTCTTTTTAGAGCCTTGTGGACTCTGAAACTAGATGAGAGTGAACATAGTTTCCTTTGTCAAATGATTAATAAACTTCTATTCAAGTGAATGTCAATTTCTACATTTGCTTAAATAGAAGTTTATTCATGACAATGCAAACTCAACAAGTGTCTTCATGAAAATTAGTTCAATAGAACTCTCCAAGTTCTGTAATGGTTCAACAATGCCATTGTACATGTTTAATAGGTTATTCTACTAGTTGTGAAAAAATTATAATTTCTCATTCTGATGCTACCATACAATATGAAATTCATCCTACATCATTTTTTTTTTTTTTTTTTTTTTTTTTTTTTTTAAAGCAGTTCCATGATGTAAAGAGATCCTGCAGTAAAATTCTAATACTGCTTTGATGAAGGTTATATCATTGTTAGATCATTAATAAACTTCTATTCAAGTGAATGTAGAAGATTTCTAAACATTAATTATTTTCATCCACAAACTATGCGAAGTTATATAAATATAGATTTTACAAGCTTGAAATATTTTAACAATTCAAAGTTTGATCTTAGAAAATAGATTATGCAATAATATAAAAAGAAAATAAAAAAAACTTCCTTGGATCCTCGTTTAATTTCTCTCAATTTACACATAAAATTTTGATAGTATCTTATACAACCTAAATTTTTTAAAGATGGAAGAAGAATTAATAATCATGTCAAGAAAAAACAGTAATTGCTTTATTTGACCATTTTCTTTAACAGTACTAAATTGAAAGTGGCTTCAATAAAGGTGTCTAAATTATGTGCTGCTTTTAAACTCATTGCATTCTACAAAGACAGCAGACATAAAAGTTAGATTGTTTGTGTGTGAAAACATAAGGTTTCTTGAGTTTTAAATTCACTTCAGTATTGGTTTATGAATTCTTGTTGATTTCACCTACAAAATATAATCAAAATAATTTGATTTATAATGGTTATGATTAAACAAACATATATATATATATATATCATAACTAGGAAATTCATATACAGAGGTTTCATGTACTCACGTTTATTGAAGGAAATTGAACAAACTGCATAAATAGCAAGTCATGGCAAAAAAGTAATTTAGTAAAAGTTAAATGCATCAACTTTTATGAAAAGTAATACAGAACACCAATTCATCAACATCATAAAATAACAAAACTTCGTCTAGACTAGATATATAAATATATCTATATAGATACAGAATGGATGAAGTTACAGTAATGTGCCGATATAAGGATGAGATCATCCACATTGAGAATGGAAAGGCTGGTGGCGGTATTAGGCCACGCTTAGTAAGTCATCCCACTAATCAGAAGGAGGCTTTAGCCAGATAATCATGCGGGATCCTGACACAGTAGTCGGGAACGGTTTCTGTTCCCCATTCCAACCTAGCCGTTCCCCACCCACACCCCCTTCTGGGAACACACCTGAGCGCTGATGAGGAACAATCCTGGCTTCGCTAATCTTGATTATTAACGCGTGATTAACAATGATTATGGGCCCCAATAGTTCAAAGCCGATTCCTGGCTGTCGTGGCCGGGGGTCATGAGACAAATGGGAAAGGGTTAATGTGGGTATCAAGGGGGAAAGGGGAACCCATTTGAACACTAATGGATTTTGTTCCCTTTCCATTTTTGTATAATTTCCTCATTCCCTCGTTCCCAAATTATATCCCCTTGCTAACATTACTCCCTTCTCTAACTATTCCCCTCATAGCCCCCATGACATGGATTTTTTATATTTATATTTATATTTGTTTTAATATGCACATTACTTTGCATGAATTCAAAATAAGGTTTTTCTTTACTTTGAGCGACTCTTTCCTCTTTCTTTGCAAAAGATGAGTTTTATCCTTTAGCTTCTGTGACGATTCCATGGTTGTCTGCATTCTGATTCCTTAGTAGGTTGCAGATTCCACATGGAACAGTCCTGGTGGTGGATGGTTGCTGGAGCATGAGCTAGTTTCTACAGCAATCCCCCCCCCCTTTGTTTTTTTTGTTTATTTGTAGTAGAGTGCTTTGCTATCTCCACAAACACACAGAAAGATAACAAAATTTACATGTTTTAATTCAGTTTCTTGCTCACTTACCCAGCTTTAGTTAGGTATGTACTAATGTGGATTATGACCTGATTCACTAGATAATAACGATACTCATACCAGATTTATATGTATATATGAATCAATCTGCTTTTTACACTGTTAGATTCATAGTGCCTACAGTTCACAACCTCATCCACTTCACAAAAATAATAGCTATCATCATTTATATCTAATATTAAACAAACAATTACAAGTGAGGACCTACATGCTTACCATAGTCAAATGCTGTGTGCATGAAGGACCAATCAGCTCAGAGAAGAGTAACAACAATATGAGCAACTTAATGTGGGTGCAAACATTAATTCTTGTCAATTTAACTGGTCATTTTGTTTAGAGGAATATTTAATTAGCTCATCTAAATGTTAAATCAGCCCACAGTTAGTACAATTCAATTGTTATTTCCACCAGAAGACATGTTAATCATTTTCATTATTTGGTATTCTAAGAAACTTATTCTTTTTGTCGTATCTCTTGTGCCAATTCTTCTTCATGATTCATCTCAGACCCCTCTCCAACTTCTCTTTGATGTAAAATAGTCTTCATGCTGCTTGTTTTTTCCTTTGTAGTTGGCTGCTCACACTTAAATTCCTTGCAGTAGGCACTCTACATTGTGTCCATGAAAAGTAAACCTACACACTAATCTCACATGTTCTTCTTCCTAGCTGTTCTGTTGCAACCCTTGCCCAATCCTCACCACCATACATAAAATGAGGATTTCTATTCTTTGTTCCTCTCACCCTTTGCAAAATCAACATATCACAGTGTGCAAAATTGAGGGATCCATGAGGGACTGTTAGCCTAGATATTGCAGGAGAGAAACATAATGAAATCATGTGGGCCAATCTAAGTTTTATGTTGATTGGCTGATACTTGTTTAACTTTTAACAAAAACAGAAAAAAGATCCTAAAATTCAAGCTGTTTTGTCCATGAAGCAGCTCAAATCTCTTTAAAGGGAGTAGTTATGAAATCTGAATTGGGTGTCCTATGAAATTCTTGATTGTTGGGAAAAAGAAGAGTAACAGAGAGAAAGAGATAGTACCATTATGTGTAATGTCACAGCTGCTATATATATATATATATATATATATTCCTTTTTCTTTTTATGCACATCCCACAATTTCAGGTTGAAGGATACCAGGCAGGATGTGAGAGGATGTGCAAAGGCAGCATTGCTATGGACCCAGCTCTGGAACCATGATGTGTTGCTGTGTCATTTCCCATAGGTGGGGGAAGTATCAATGCATTCTAGAAGCTAGAATGGTGGATGGAAATATGAATGAATTCTTTTGTTCATATGTAGATTTTTTATTTTTATTTTTAATTTTTTAAAAGGTGTGCC